GGCTACATTTTCATTTTCCGCTAACTTTTAAGCAGATCAGTTTATTTTATATATGTTTTGTATTTAAATGTTTAAATCTTATTATTTACGTAGTAAATTCAATACTAGGCATAAATTTTTTTAGAAAAAATAATAAACTTTATTTTCATTTACTGCACACAAAAAAATATGTGACATAAACTACTGTGTTTTTTATTATAAATGTTGAACATAATGCAACTAATACTCACTATTTTCGTTAATGCAAAAATGTAGACTTTAATTGAAATTATTAAATTTATTGGTTTTCGATAGAAAATTAGTTTTCACGTAATTGTAACGTAAATCTTTAGGTTCTTCATTAATCATTTTATAATTAATCGGTGAGTTCATGCGGAAATTCAATTAAAGTTAAAAAAGTACCAAACCACCTCAGAAAAATCTCAAATTTGGTGGTGGCTACACATAGGGCATTTGTAGTCTTGAGAAAAAGTTTGAGACCAATCCGGCACTGAAAAACAAATAGACTTCAGAGTCTCAGAGAACCTAGGTGTATAGATAGGGTTCAACGAAAGGTTCTATATACCTCTATGAAGCACGTCGGCTCCGCCTATGTCGAAATGACTTGAAATTTTTTTGGCAGTCATTTACTCCCAAAATATGACCCCACACAAGATCTTAGATTTTTCTGATAATTCTTTTTATTATTACATTTTTCTTTGTGTCGCGTGAGACGAAATACGGTGAATTACATATTGAAAACAATATAATTTTGCATCAACCTCCACAAATATTTGTCTCCTAGGGCACATTGGCAAAGTTTGGCACCATTCCAGATTTTTTTGGGGTGGACTCAGTTCAACATATAATTATTCGGTGAAGTCACGTGGAAATTCAATTAAAGTGAAAAAATTACCAAACCAATTCAGAAAAATCTCGAACTTGGTGGTGGCTTCACACTGGGCATTTGAAACCCTGATAAAAATTATGAGATCAATCAGGCACTAGAAAGCACATGGACCAGAAAATTTAAAGTATAGTTAACAAAAGAATATAATCAATTAAAGGGTCTTTTCTCTTAGTAAATAAATATTTGGGTGCTTTCTTGTCGAGAAAGTGACTTAGTTCAGACGGCTAGCTAGTGCGCTGCATTTTGGACCTTGGCTATGAGGTCGTGGGTTCAATGCCTGGTTGCCCTATTTTTTTGTCCAGCACGACTATATTATTTTATCAAGAAAGATTTTATCCCGGTTATAGCCCAGAGCCGGAACTAAAGGTCATACTTTAGTCCCAGCGGAGCCTCAAGTCGGGAGTAAAGATTTATTCCCAGTTGGAGGATCTAGCCGGGACTAAAGGATAACCTTTAGTCCCGGCTCTGGGCTATAACCGGGACTAATTGTTGCCTGCCGTCGCCACACACTTGGGGTAGAAACTTTGTATCATTGTTTGAGGATACAAACCGGACTAATAGTCCCTTTAGTCCCAAACACAAAAATACCAGGACTAAAAGCAAAAATAGAGGCGGGATGAAAGGTCTGTTTTCTAGTAGTGTGAATTTGTAATGATAAACTTGTGATGTTCAACTTTGGTGCATTTGTGATGGATTTTCGATGGATTTATTAAATATGCATGTGCTTGTGATATATAATGCATGTTGGTGATATAGATGAGATGATTGATGTATATATATATTGTCTGTTACAATGGAATGTAAAAAAAATTACAATTCTCGGGGTCTTTGCCGAGTGCCATGGGCAAGGCACTCGGCAAAGTTTTTTCAAAAATAAAAATTCTTTGCCGAGTGACTCGCCGCGACACTCGGCAAAGTATTTTTTTAAAAAAAATACAGAAATTCTTTACCGAGTGCCTAAACAGGGACACTCGGCAAAGAAATTATTTAAAAAAAATAAAAAAACTTTGCCGAGTGCCTGGGCAGGGGCACTCGGCAAAGTAATTTTTTTTAAAAAAATAAAAAAAAAACTTTGCCGAGTGCCTGGGCATGGACACTCGGCAAAGTACTTTTTTAAAAAAATAAAAAAAACTTTGTCGAATGCCTGGGCTGGGGCACTCGGCAAAGTAATTTTTTTAAAAAAAAATTTTGTTTTGCCGAGTGCTGGGTCGGGCACTCGGCAAAATAACCGTTAACGGCCGGCGCGCAACGGCCGAAAATATTTTGTCGAGTGCCGTCCCAAGCACTCGGCAAAATTGTTTTTTATTTTGCCGAGTGCCCCGATAAAAAGCACTCGGCAAAGACCCTTTGCCAAGAAAAATTTTGCCGAGCGGACTTTGCCGAGTGCTACACTCGGCAAAGCCTTTGCCGAATGCAAATGGCACTTTGCCGAGTGTAAAAACACTCGGCAAAGCCGCGGCCTCCAGTAGTGATAGCACATCCACTTGAGTCACAATTTCAAAATAATGGCTGATTATAGAAAAAAGTTGTCGAAGTAAGAAGTGCAAAGTTAGTAGCCATATATATAGATATCAGTTTGAGCTAAATTCAACTAGTAGATTTATGAGAAGAATTCCCCAAACGCATTGCTTCTGGCAGGCTTGAATAGTAGTAGTAGCAAGAAAATAAATTAAAACACATGTCTATACACAAGGAACAGATAATGATGCATCCTAACACAATTTGCATCAATCAATCTTGAGTACGAGAACAAAGGATAAAAAATGCTGGTCTTATTTATTTTTTCTTCCATTTGAATTCGAAGAATTTTGCTACTTTTCAATGGTATAATGCTTGAGGCACGCACAGAGGAACAGCAGACAGTTCCTGATTCCCCCAATGCCCAAGCAAATCCCCCCTCCCACCTCTCCCCCGCAGTTGGTTTGCATGGATTGCACGGAGAGATTGGTTTGCACTAGATACATTGTCAATGCCCAAACCCCCTAAAACCGCAGTTGCAGACAGATATATATACGGAAGCGGTTTTCAAGTAGACACGGGTAGAAGGAGGATGAAGTAAAACAAACCCCCACCCCACGGATGATCAGCAGACGGTGGGGACGAATCGCAGGGCGGCGACACGGGCGGAGAGGAGCCCGCGAGCCTACGGACGGCGAACTGGATGCAGTTGGTCAGCGCGATGAGGCACATGGGCTCGTAGACGACCCCGAGAGCCGCATCTACCGCGGACCTCCGGGCACATGGTTGTTTTTTTAATTCTGTGTGTCCCAAAGCAACTTGTGCTAAAATGTAAATAGCTTTGTGATTAGCATAATCTTTCACCCCAAGGTTGCTTTTAATTCTTTCATGACCAAGCTAATTTGTGCTAAAATGTGATCCAATACGGTTGCTTACTTGTTTCATGTTGCTTGCCAAAGAAGTGGGCACATGGTTGGGATAAAATAAACAAGGCTTGGATCTATATATTTTGGTGTTTGTGATGACCTTCAGATGAGAATGTGTTTGCCTAGTTTGAGCTTTTCATAGCACTAGTGATAACTTAATCCTCGCACTATTCATGCTAGGTGCTTGTTCTTGTGGAGAACAATTTTTGAATAATCTTGAAAACCCGATGAATTGCTTTTACGCTTGGTTCTTGTGACACAGTATCACTTTGAGATTTTGTGCACCTTTGAGCTACATTGTTTACTCCTCATAGTGCTTTGCCATCCCTAGAACTTGCAAGTGCTTTGTGGTCTACTTGAGAAGCTTTCTAGGATTGCACCCCATATCATGGCATCCATGCTTTGGAGCTTGTGTCCTTAAAAATTGGTATCAAGTTCTTTTGTGTTTTCCCTTCCGGTTGGGTACTTCTTTGAGCATGTTCTTCAATTGAAATCTTTTTAAGCTCTTCTTGATGATTGCATTGCCAACAAAGGGATGAGAAAATAGAATAGCACAATGGGGAGTATTGCATTCATGTGCCACCATAAGAGTCCATAATTTGAGTGTGTGTGTGTGTGGGGGGGGGGGGGGTGGGACATGCATCTTTTGCATCCGGTTGTGTTGAGCTTTTACCTCTGCTTGGAAAACCGGTGCTCCCCGCATCCGCGTATGCCAGAAAAGGTCTCACGGGTTCTGGGTTGACTCAGCAAGGACAGGGCTGCGCTGAAGCAAATGCCTTGACGGGATCAATGTAATGGTGCCGTACTGCAGTGCTAGTTCCCGACAAACGACAAATCCAGTGATGCCCAGCAGGCATTGCTTCGGTAATACTAATATTTATTCAGTCCAACACGATTGAGTAAACAGATTTATTTTGGTCTGTAAGAATATATATGACCGCGCGTTTAACTAAGTTCTTCTCTTTTCTTAAGTATATGATGGAATTTTATGAACTTTGACTATTTTTAATTTCTTCCTAATGTAAGGGAACAGGAGCAACCGCATCAAGCTTTTTCTCTGCAATTAAAATGCAGATTGATATATATGTGGATTTGAGCTGCATCTAAGAGTTTAAAATTTCTATGTTGTTTATAGAATATCAGATCTCATTTTTTTCAATTTATTTTGTAATGGCCGTAAGTACCGTTAGAGAGGATAGATTTTTATTTTAATTAAACCTTTTCTTCATTAAAAAAAAAGAAATCATTGACCAACTTTTTCTAATTCACATCAAAATCCTCGGGACAAGAAGATAATAAAGCGAAAGAAATGAAAGATGAAGCGTTATGTTCCTCTAGCTTAAGCTCATTCTAGTCATTATCTGGAGGAATTCATTTGTGCGTCATGTGACCCCATTATGCCTCTTATTTTCTGTGGTCATGGAGTAGTTTACAGGTGCATTGACGCTTCCGGAAAGAGGTAACTGAGCATCTCGGGTAGTAGGATCCGCTTCCTTTCTTACCTCCCGTACTAGCTACTAGTTCATGTCTTACATTTCCAAATTGAGCAGCACATGCTTTTGTGGTCAGGATTATGGCCTAGCTAGTGTTACCTTCGATCTTCAGCAGGCCGTGGTGGTACTTGTTTATGTTCACCTTTTTTTTTTTGAAACTATTTATGTTCACCTTGATACACACTACACCCCGACTTTCATCTACAGCGAGGACTCGTTCGAGGGACGCAATAAATGGCGGCTGCTGCAGGCCTGCAGGTAAGTGATGATGATCCCCTGTCATCCAGATGATTAAGGTATTCCAAACTTTCATTAACCCCATGACAAAGCAGCATCTGCTAGCTATATGTTGTGGTGAGTGGTGGCAAAAGTATTATACGAAGTTGGTTAGTTTTTTCTTTCGAACATTGATCAAGTTTTGGATATTTAGATGTAGCACTTCTCTTCCACAAAATCGATCCGGCCGTCTCATCTATAAATTAAACAGGATCAACAGACTGAATGGCTGGATGATTACCTGGTCAAAGACAGGCTGCTGATGTACTTCACCAAGGCCTCGGCGACAACACTGCCTGTGCTTGTCGCGTTCTTGTCACTCACGCTGGGAGAGAAAAAGGAGCAGGAACATGTCAAGATAGCTTTCTGTGCTGTCTCCCTGCTCGCTTTACTGGTCATCACCGTGCCACTGGCGTGTAGCATCGGCTTTGCAGGACGATCCGATAGTGGACGACGACGATCCGGCAGTCACAGTGGACGACGATGCCAGGGAGAAGTCCATGCGGCGCCTGTGACGCGGCGTACCTCTCCAACATTTCTCATCTTGACAGTGGTTATCCTGGCAGTGCTGCTCAACCCGGCTTACGTCGCTCCCACCAGCCCGGGGCTGTTGCTCTCATTCCTGCTGGTAGGTATCACCGTGTACACGGTGGAAACGGAGCCGTTGCTCCGGTGGCGAAACGTCCTGGACCACAAGCATGCCACCGACTACACCTTCGTCTTCAACGTCTCCTCAGAAGCTCTTCGGCTTGTCAGCAGCACTCTTCGGCAATCTCAAGAGCGGCCAGCGGAGGCAAGGTGAAGCAGCAAGTCCCAGGGCCGCGGAGGCACTCCTTGTGTACGCCGCTGTCGATGCGGGACCCACAGGATACCCCGCAAGAGAGAAAAGATCTAGTTCAACTAGGATTCTTCCCATGTAATCTTAGTAATAGAACTATTAAGTAATCCTACTACGAGATCTCATTGTAAACCGATTAGGACTCCGGCCTCCTGACTATATAAAGGAGGGTAGGGCTCCTAAAGAAGGACAAGAATTGTACAACATAACACTTCATAATCAATCCAACACAAAAGGCAAACGCTGACTGGACGTAGGGTCGTTACTCGATCTACGATCGAGGGCCTGAACCAGGATAAATCGACTGTCTCTTGCGTTTACCATCGAGTTCAGCATACGCCGAAGCCCGAACATACTGCCCCGGGTACCCCCGTGGCAGGCTATCGGTGGTAAAACATCGACAGCTGGCGCGCCAGGTAGGGGCCTTCGGCGAATTTGCATCCGAGACCTCGATGGACCTCAATAACATGATCTTCCCGACGGGATCGATTTTCATCTTCGGCTCGTGGATCTGCGAGGCGGACAACTACGGCAAGATTCAAAGCCATCTCCTCAAAGATCCGGATCATCATAAAGAATCCTCTATTTCGACAACTACGACGGATCAGTTCATCAGAAGATTCGCGCAGCCCATAATACCCGATTCGAATAAGATTCCACGACTACACGCATCCGACTCGAATTCAAGCTCCGTATCCGAGATAAAGTCCTGTTCGAGTGCTTTCAAGAAGTCGAGTTCCTGTTTGGCAAGATTCCAGAGCACAACCCAAAACAACTCGGATTACCCTCAGAATTTTTTCAAAAGGCCGAGTTCTTTTCCATTTGGGCTCGACAACACGACAAAATCCTATCAGGGACAGTTTGAAAGGTCTTTCAAACCAACACTTGGGATACCACTACTACGAGGAGCCCAGGAGGGTCTCGTACTAACGATAACATCGCAAGACCAGTATCATCCATCGGCGGAGATCCGTTCACGAGGATAAGCGGAACCCAACTAGTCGGCACAACAACAACAAATATTCTACCTTACCAAGAGGGAGACTCAATCTCTGACGTCCGAGAGCGCATCTCAAGTCGTCGACAACTCCGGCAGTATGAAAACTAACAACAATAACGGGCAGCTCACGCACGGAAGTGCTCATGGTTCGGCGTCCTCGGTCACCATTAAACCCCCCGAAGCACCCGATGTCGGTCATCGGATGAATCGAGAATCCAACATATCACCCTTTGCTCGGGGCTACGATGGAGAAACCGAGAGTCGAGACGAGCTAGAGAAAGGAAAAACAAGTTGAAACAAAGGCGCCAAAGACCACAGCTCGACAAACAGAAGAAGCTGGACCAGATCTGAGTCGAAATTGGTGAATACGACAAAAGAAAATCACAACAAGAGGTCGAAGAGAGCGCGCAAAGGAGTATGCCTTACGATAAGATTCGAGAAGCATTAGAAGAACTCAGGGCAACTTCACATCACGGAGAGAAATACGAACAGCTCCAGGGCTTGCTCCGGTCAACGATCCCAAGAACGCATGAAGAGAGAACCCGATCAAGACTACCCGCCAGATCAACAACCCGCAGGCAAGAAGATCAAAATCAAAGGAAGTCCGCTTTTGAAAGACTTGGACCAGGCGGAAGCCATAGCGGAGGAAGTAGGAGGGAACATAGTCGGGGCCATCAATTTGAACAACCAAGGAAGACCAGGGAGTAGAGGGCCTACCTGAGACAGACCTCACGAAATTATTCCCATCAAAACAACACTTGGCGGAAGAAGGAGCCGAATCCGAATTCAAGGAAGCGGAACGCATGAATGATTCCCTGTTTTTGCAAACAGGTTGGCATCAGTATGATTACCTCACAAATTCAAACCATCTAATCACTCCAAGTATGATGGCAAAACCGAACCAAGGCAATGGCTCAGAATATATTCACAATCAATTGAACTAGCCGGAGGAGACGATGATATCAAAACCTTGTTCTTTCCCATGGCACTGGAAGCGATGCCCCTCCAATGGTTCGATAAATTGAACCCAGGATCGATCAGAACTTGGGAAGACTTGCAAAGAGCTTTCTGTGAAAATTTCGCAGGTATCATCACACACCCGATCACTCATGCCGAACTGAAAGGACTCAAACAAAAGGGGGGCGAAAGTCTCAGAAATTACTATCGGCGATTCGGTGAACTACGGGCTCAAGTGCATGACATCACCGAACGAGAAGTAATTGAAGCTTTCTCTCACGGAATCATGGCTAGGTGGCAATTTCAAGACTTCTGCAAAGAAAATCCAAGAAACAATGAAGAATTCAGACGAGCAATGAGAAAAAAATGATTACTGCAGAAGAAAAAACACGAGAAAGGTTCCCGGATAGAAGCAACCAAGACAACCCGGATAGGCAAAATCATCGAAATAGCAGACATCAAGAAAGAAAGCGTAGACCAGACAATACCGTGGCAATGGCCGACAAATCAAAGAAGTTTTCCAAACCCAGAAGATATGATGACATTGAAAACATACGTTGCCCGTTACACCCTAACGGGAGACACACCATCGGAAACTGCTACACTTTCAATGATCGATACACGAGAAAAGACAGTAAGGAGAACACCAAAGAGGATAATCACAAGAAAGATGAAGACAACCACGAGGACAAGGGATTTCAAAAACCCAGGGGAACGGTAGCAGTGATCTTCTCAGGGGCCCCAGATTGCACAAGCAAACGTCAAGAAAAACTAGCACTACGGACTATCATGACGGCGAAACCGGCTACACCAAGATATCTCAATTGGTCACAATATCCAATCCATTTTTCAAGAGAAGACCAATGGACTAGCGTGAGGGAACGCAGCCCATTACCCACTAGTCTTAGACCCAACTATTGCCGTATGATGATGTCACCAAAGTACTAATTGATGGGGAGCTAGACTCAACATCATCTTTTCGAAACACACTAAGGAAGATGGGACTACAACTCATTTGGGATGATTACACCAACAAGCACCCCTTTTACGGAATAGTACACAGCAAAGCAGCCATGCCAAATGTTTGCAAAACAAGCCCATGTGCCACTCACAATCTCATCTCAGATCCCACCCGCTTGGCCTTTTTTTCTGCTGGGGGGGATCAAGTGGGACCCCTCAAGAAAGCAAAGGCGGCTTTTGAGTACATCTTTGTAGCAATCGACAAGTTCACCAAGTGGATTGAATACAAACCACTCATGATACAACGCAACCCAAAGCGATCGAATTCATCCAAGAAATTACGCACCGCTTTGGCATGCCCAATCGAATCATCACGGATCTAGGCTCCCCTTCACACCACTCTGAATTCGTGAAGTCGGGCACAAGACCGTGGTTTCATTATAGATTATGCGTCTGCTGCACATCCGAAGCCAACGGACAAGTAGAAAGGGCCAATGGACTCATACTAGCCGGATTAAAACCAAGGTTATACTGAAGAACTAGTTGACTATGGGTCCAAATGGATTGAAGAATTACCAAAAGTAGTATGGGGCTACGAACTCAAATAAGCGAGCAAACAGGCCATTCACCTTTCTTCCTAGTTTACGGATCGGAAGCCGTCTTGCTGCCGACTTGATCTGGACATCACCAAAGATAGAACAATACGATGAAGGAGAAGCGAGAACAAACAAGAAGATTAGAACTCGACACCGTAAGAAGTCGAGTAAATGCTACCCTCAATCAGCCGATACCTACAAGGTTTAAGGCGGCACTACAACAAAAGTACCCATCCTCGATCACTACAAGTTGGAGACTTAGTACTAAGAAGGATACAAAAGACCGACGGACGACATAAAGCTTCTCAGTCCATGGGAAGGTCCGTTCATTGTCACAAAGGTCACCGGACCAGCACATACAAGTTAATAACCGAAGATGGAAAAGAAGTCAACAATACATGGCACATCACCCATTCTAAGAAGATTCTACGGCGTAAAAACAACTCAAGATAAAACAGATATGCAAGCCACAAGGGACCAACATTCACAATCGACGAAAGACGATATTCTTCGACAACATATGTATTAGTTCATATTCATGATCAATAAAGATGATATTCATCCACAAATGATGTCTTATCATGACTTCCAACGAGTTGTTTACCCAAGAAGAAAAGCAAAATGGTCAAAAACATGCACGAGCTTCCCGCACACAGAGCAAAATAGCTGAAAATACGCTTGAGCCCGCCGATGAGGGTAGCTAAAAGCTAACACCAAACAAAAAGCAAAATGGTGAAAAACACGCTGAGCTTCCCGGTAGAGAGCAAAATAGTGAAAAAAGCGCTTGAGCCACGCCGATGAGGGTAGCTAAAAGCTAACACCAAACAAAAAGCAAAATGGTCAAAACACGCTGAGCTTCCGTAGAGAGCAAAATAGCTGAAAAAACGCTTGAGCCCCGCCGATGAGGGTAGCTAAAGATAACACCAAACAAAAAGCAAAATGGTGAAAACATGCTCGAGCTTCCCGTCAGAGAGCAAAATAGCTGAAAATACGCTTGAGCCATTGATGAGGGTAGCTAAAAGCTAACACCAAACAAAAAGCAAAATGGTGGAAACACGCTTTGAGCTTCCCGCAGAGAGCAAAATAGCTGAAAACACGCTTGAGCCCACTTGATGAGGGTAGCTAAAAGCTAACACCGAAACAAAAAAGCAAAATGGTGAAAACACGCTGAGCTTCCGTACGAGAGCAAAATAAATTGAAAAAGACGCTTGAGCCCGCCGATAAGGCCAAAACTAGTCAACCAAATCTGAACTCCAAAAGACCCTCCAGCTCTTCGTTCCGAAAAGCAAGAGGCTCGGGGGCTACATCCAGATAGGAATACTTTTTCCTCAGAAAAATACAAGCGCCACTCAAAAGGCAACATTCTATGCCAAGTCATTTTTTCATAGCACGGTGTCAACACAAAGATTTACATCTAACAAGTCACAAATAGCGGACAAAGCACTTTCGAC